TATGTTGAGGTGTAATCCATACTGAAGGCTGTAGTCTTTGAACTTCATCAGTAAGTGCTTCAAGTCCTCTTCACTTTCAGCAAGCAAGGTTGTGTCATCTACATAACACAGATTGTTAATGAGTCTTCCTTCAATCCTGATGCCCTGTTCTGCATATAGTCCAACTTCTTGATTGGTATACAATTTCCTCAATTTTTATTTTACTGCCCTTTTATATTTCCATCATGTTACTTTAGCACAATTTACTCACTAGAAGTTTTGTTCCTGCATTTAAACATAATGGAAATGTACTATTTAAAATGTAATTTGAAATATATTTTGAAAACAATTGTGGGAAATAAAAAATTGAGAAATAATTGAAACTGGGTAAAACACCACTGAACAGGATGCTCCGGATTTGAGGAGGAAAGAGGAAAATAGGGCAGTTTTCCTTAATTTCTCATTTCAGAGAGATAGGTAAGATGACATTTTGTGTGAAGACTGGCAGAATTCAGCATCAGAGGCTGTTTCTGAGTTTAACATATGATTTTCTTTTTTAAACTTGTCAGATTTGTGTATTAAGATGTTTGTCTCAAAGAATACATGGGAATGTTTTCAATATTTAGTCTATATATCCCCAAATTCTTCATAATATGATAGAAAGTGCCTGTTCCTTGAAAATTTGAAAGAAATCAGCAGTCTTTGGTTTGTATGTGGGCTTATGGAAAGGGTGGAGGTGAGAGAAGGGCATGATGTTTTTAAATGTCTCCCTCACTTAGTATACTACGTTACTTTTTATTTCACTTGTTAGGTTTTGTCACTTTTACATCTTTATGGAAAATTGTCTACTTCACTAGATTTTCAAGTATATTAACATGTAATTGTGTCTAGTATTCCTATATATGTTCTAAAATCTTTCCATATTTATTAGTATTATTTTTGTTTCTAACTTTATTCATATTTTTCTTGATTGTTTTTGGTAGAGGCTTGTACCATTTATTTCTTCTGAATCAGTTCTTGCATTCATAATCAATTGTAATAATGTTCTAGTTAAAAGTATCTTTTTTTATCTGAGTATTCTTGGTCATGTTTCCCAAGAACATTTAAGTTTTTTATCCTGTCTTACCATTAATATTATTTCATGAAACATAAAATTCTAAAATGTTCTCAGAAATATATTCTTAGAAAATTATACTTGAATACTCATTCCTGGGGAGTCTATTCCAACTATAGCGAGTCCATTGGACAGAGTAGAACTGTCCCACAGGGCTTCCAAGGAGGCACACAGCTCAGAACACAGAGGTCTTACATGTCCTCACAGAGTGGATCATCTTGTATTGCAGAAGGGCATTGCCAAATGAGGGGGATCTCTCTGGCAGGGTTGGGGCCATACAATAAAATTTTTTGCTGCAGGAATGAAAGCAAAAATCCTGCAGACAGCTTCTCCCCCCTTGTATGGCATGCTAGTGGCTATTGTTAATCCATTAGTGGGTCAGACAATGTATCAGGTGGGACAAGCCTTAGTTGATTTGAGTGAAACTGAGGAGGCTAGAGAGAAGGGGGTGCGAACCGTGGGAAAAGAGAAAAGAAAGACTGAGAAACCTGTGAGATGACTGTCCAAGGGCCCCTTGAAACTGACCCGAAGGGAGATGTGGGTGGACTTAGTGGCTGCCAGAATGGCAGGGTACAAGATAGATAAGCAACCAAATGTGGTTTTGGTTAGCCTTTGGAAGGATGTGAAGGCGGAGCAACACTATCACCCTCTGGGTCCTACAGCTCCTTGCTGCTGGGTGGACCCCACTCATTCCTAGGGACTATGAGGGGCCAAGGTCACCTGTAAGTCAGTGCCCTGCAGGTCAGTGCCCTGCAGGGGCACAGAAGTCCCCATGTGGAGATGTCACAATACATTGGTCAAGAACAAACATGCAGTGGGTGTTAGCTCTGATTGATACCAGGAGAGAGTGCACACTTATCTTTGGAAACCTGAGTGGTTCCGCAGATCCCACTTGGCAACTGATGGGTACTGTGGAAAGTCTATCTGCATATGACAGGTAGTTATGACCCTGCAAGTAGGCACACTGCTCCTAAACTGAATCAAGTTTATATTTCCTTAATACCAGAATACATTCTAGGGGTGACTGTCCAATGGGACTGACTTTGACTCGTCTGGGGAGAATTCTGACTGCGAGTAGGGTGGTAAATGCAGTTCTGAGGGGAAACACGGTGTGGGAAAGAGTGACCCTGCACCCACCATGAAGAACGTAGATAGCAAGCAATGTAAGTTTCCCAGAGAACATAAGGAAATTAGTGAAACTATTTTGGAATGAAAAAGAGTAGATATCGTCCGGGAAGCCCACAGTGCTTTTAATAGCCCTGTGTGGCCTGTGAAGAAGCCAGATGGGTTCTGGCTATGACCATGCCATGGACTATAGGGTACTTAACAAAGTGATCCCTCCTATACATGCTGCAGTTCTGAGCACTTTTTGTTAGAAACTCTTAGTATAAATCTGCGCACATATCAAGTTGTGTTAGATCTGGCCAACGCATTCTTTAGCATCTCTCTACCCCGTCTGCCCAGGACCAGTTTACCTTCACCTGGAGGGGGGGGGGGAGGGGCAGCAATGGACATTTCAAGTGCTTCCTCAAGGATAGTTACATAGTCCCACTATTTGCCATGGTATAGTGGCTAGAGATATGACTCTTTTCCACTTCCCCACAGCTGTATGTTGGCTTCATTGCGTTGACAACATTATGTTAACTGCTGAAGATGTTTCTCTGTTACAGAAATATCTAGACGCCCTAATCATCAACCTACAATGGAGAGGATTGGCCATGAATCCCCACAAGGTGCAAGGGCCAGAAACATTTGTAAAATTCCTAGGGGTTGTCAGGTTGGGTAAGACCTGTGTGATGCCTGAAGCCATAACTGACAAGATGCAAGCTTACCACAACCTTAGAATGACAAAGGAGGTGCAGGCCTTTGTGAGTCTTTTGGGGTATTGGAGAGTATTTATTCCCTACCTGGCCTAGTGTTTGAGACCACTCTATTGACTGGTAAAAAAGGATGCCTCTTGCGATTCAAGTAATGAACAGCAGCAAGCTTTTGAGAAAGCAAAGGTGTTGGTTGCATGAGTGAAAGCACAGAGCACAATATGGGAAGAGTTATCTTTCTGTTTCATGCTGACCAGCACCAAGGGCTGCTTTGGCTGGGCCTTGTGGAAAGACCAGGATGGAACTAAAGTCCCCCTAGGTTTTGGGTCCCAATTATGGGGGGCGGGGCAGAGAACTGATACAGCTCCATGAAGAAACAATTGTTAGTGGTCTATGTCACTCTCTGCCAGGTAGAGCCATTAACAAGGGCA